AATTATGGCCATGCACCATAGCGCATGTACCACGTGCTGTGACATGTTGTACAGAGAAGCCTTCCTTAATTTCTAGTGGCTCGTGCACTATGACATGTGGCACAGAGTCATTTACCTTTATTTTTCTCACTTTTTGACATTTGGGTGGCCTAATTTCACTTCGAATTCAACCCTAGGGATAAAATCACAACCAAAATATATGTTAGCTCTTTGTAACCACACACCATATTAATTTACTTAATTTACCTCATTTACTTAGCTAATTTGAGGGCTAAATTTTCTCGGATGTTATACTGAGCATGGTGTATAGTGGTGATAAAGTAATGTCATGCATAATTGTGTTTGTAACTTAAATTATTATGTGTTTAAAAATGTTTTTACTTGCCCACTTAACAATCCACATGATTAATTGCATTTCATGCATTATGGCAATTTAGACTTGGTTGCTAGGATATTTGTGTCTCATTCCTTGTGATTAACTATTTTTCAAAGAAGAACTCAGTCGAAGAAGCACTTAAGGCATAATATTGGTGTATGGAACACTACTTAGTTGTAGGGGCTCATTCTTATTTAAATGTATACATTTGTGAACTTAAGGGCATTTATACTGTAAATTGATCGCATGATTCCTCTTTTTGGCTAAAATTTATCTATGCTAGCCATGAGATTGGTTTTTGACTCTTATGGCATCATTGAAGATGTTTTAGAACATGGTGATGATTATATGATGATTTATGATCAAAAGTTGTTATTATTTATTATTAACTATGTTGGGTGACTATAATAAAACTATGAAAACTCGTTTGTGCTTGAGTAAATGCATGTGTAGAAATGTTATTTTGTGTGTGTGAATGATGTGGTTAAGTGTCCTAGATGATGGTTATTAGCTTTGGTTGTGGTTTAGAAGTGTAGAGAAAATTTAACATTGTATTTTTAAAGCCATTGGAGATTTTGGTGGATAAAATCTTTGTACAGTAGATTTCGTGTACCAAACCAAAGCAATTAACTAGTTTACTCAAAAAAATTCATGTGGACACTTAAACAATCTAATTTAGATGTATGTACATAAAGTTATGTGCATAGTTCAGTTTGAAAATATGATTTGTGACAAGTAACCACTATGTAATGCTTTGCGACGCATGTCATTTACGCCATGATGCACTACCCACTCTTAGGCATAATGCCTCCATTACATCCATTACGATGCAAACAACATGTGCCATGGTAAACAACCTTGATTTTTCAGAATTGCCACTATATTTTTAATAATTTTCAAATAGGTTCTTCTGACTCTTTTACCTTTTTTTAACTTGTTTTTAGATAAGTTTTCCCTTGAGTACCATGCTTCACTAAAATAAGAGTTTAGAAATATTAATTGAGTTTTAATACTTACCTTTATGGGATCCCATTCTTGGCATTAAATGTTTAAATAAGTTTCCTCTTTAAATTACCATGGTAGGTCTATTTTGAGATGTGAAACTCTTTTATTTTTCATGGTAAACTCTTTTCTACTATGATGATGTTTTGAAATGTTAACTTTTATTCTTTCTATTATGATAAGTCTTTTATGTACCATAGTAGTGTTTTAAAAGTATGCTTTATCTCTAATTACTATGATAGATACTTTTCTATTATAGTAAGGGTCTAAATAAGTTATGTTTTGGTATTAAAAATGTATTTAAATGGAATTAATCTAGTGTGTAGGTAAGGGATGTTTCACTATTTCAGGTACACAAGCAAGTGGCATTTGACCTCTTCAAAACTCTGATGTGTTGATCATCCTTTCCTTAAGGATATATCCGACGTGTACGAGCTCATAAGTGCTCATTGTGACTACAATCTACTTCATGCTCTCCGGGACGCCAATACTTGTTCTGATTTCTTAATAAAACGAGCTCATGACTGGTCAAATGCTTTAAGCTATTAGCTGACTCTCCAAATGGATGTACTCTCTCATTTTGTTTGACCAAAGTGGGGGTTTGTCCCACTTGTCCTAGATCGTGTGTCTGCTTTCTTGTATTCTAGCTAATCGCTAGCCTCATCAATAAGAGGGGGAAAAACTCTGATGTTCTTCTTGGATGGCCAATTTTGGCCAATAAGATCAAAACTAGAAAAAAAGAGAAAAAAAAAAAATCATTGCAAGCTTTGCATCAAATGGAACATGGAGATTTTATAAGAATTTTCGTGGAAAAAAGGTAAAATAGAAGTAATCCCTTACTCAGACACCCCAATAATTCTTGCCTTAGATCCGTTGTGATGTGGATTTGAACTTTTATCTCATATTATGGCCTTCAACTAGAGTTACTCATCACCATCAGCAATTATTGACTATCCTTCAATCTATCACCTTATATCCTAGCGCAAAGCGTGGTTAATGAAAACTTATTTAATGAAACTGCTAAATGCAATCCAAGCAAAGAGGGGTCTTAAGTGACACAATAAGCAAAAAGAATTTAAATTACTTTTAATATGTTCAAAATTTATTTATGATTTTTTGCATATAGTTTAATAATCAAAGCTTGACTGTTTTATGTTTAGATATTTTAGATATATCTTGAATTTTCATTAATTAGTTATTGAATCCATAATATATTAGTCCTTTATGGTCTTGTGTGAACTGTAATAAGTAAATTATACAAGTGAGCCAATTGAGCAAAACCTACAACCTTTTACTCATAAGTTATTTTTCCTATCTTTTAATTGATTGGTTTAAGAGAATTTAAGAGACTTAAAATAAATAAATAATCAATTAATCCTACATACAAAAGAATATAACCCCACTCCTCACATGGTTCAATGTAATATATATCATCGTCTACCATACTCTCTCGTGTATATATATATATATATATATATCTCTCTTTCAATGCTAAGAGGATCTAGCCGGTTGTAAATCTACCCATTCTCCAAGTAATCAAAATCATTAATCAAGTCTTTCTCTTCTCTAGAGCAAGAGGTAGGGTTGTGCAAAAGTACGGCAATCATGTCCAACCCAGTCCAACTTGAGCAACACCCATGTAGTCTTATGAAAAATTGATCAAAAGGATTAAAAGAATAAATAAAACCAAACTTCATCTTTGGAGTTAGATTGAACAGGAAACCAAGCTTTCAAACCACCTAATCTAATTCAATCCTATAAAATTATTTAAATATAATTACTTTTATTTTTACTTTTTAATAAAGTTGAATGTGAAGCTTAAGACTTGATTGTTAAATACAGTTCAGTCCCTGATTTCCTATCTCTCTTTTCTTCATTCACTCTATATATGTGTATACATGTGTATATAATTTATTTTTTTACAAATATAGCAAGTGTGATTAACGCTAGAGGAAATGATTGCATGAGAATTAGTTGAATTTTGTTGTTAACACGTTGTAATGTAATTTTTGTGTTAAAGTTTATTGAATGTTGTTATGAATTGTAGCTGAAATATTTTCGTGGTGATATTGAAAATTGTTATAGATTTATTGTGATTAACTTTTAATGTTTTGTGATAAATTTTATATAATTATAAATATTTTTATTATTTTAATTGAATTTATCAAATTAAAATGAAATGTTACATTTCATAGAGGAAAAGGACAAAAAAAAAAGAGAGAGAGAGATGCTAAGCTATTAGGACTAAACTCTCAATTCTATAAACTAAATTTAGTACTATTTAACTTCTAGTTAAACACAAATAGGAACATAAATAGGACAGACTATGAATTACCTAACTCATTTTTTTTTATGAAAAAAGCCACACTTTGGATTAAACTAAAGCCCTCTCCTGTTCATTCTTTGTGCAAAACTAGCAAGAGATATGCCGTTTAAATTCTGCTCTAATCATTTTATTTAACCGTCAACATATTTTCATCATTTTACTGGCAATCAAGAGCTTGCGATCCCTATGGAGATGACATAACATTCTCGCAACTGGTACGAGATGTCCGTCCAACTAACGTCTTAGCCGTGTCTGGTTCATCTTCTCTACTACTCATTGTGATAAGATTTAGACTGTCCAAATTTTAATTTGAATGGTCCAAATTTAAAATATTATTATATATTTTTATTTTATATTTATTAAAATAAAATTTATAAAATAATTTTAACAAATTTTTTTATTTCCAATCTAGTCTGGATTTAATTTAAAAAGTATAATTTAATATTAAAATTTTTATAATTGTTATATATTAACTATCTAGATAAATTATGTACAGTCCATATTTAATTTGGGATTGATCTAAACTATACATAATACATCTAGATAATCAATACATTGCAATTAAAAAAAATTAATATTAAATCAAACCCTCCAAACTAAATCTAAACCATATTAAAAATAAAAAATATTAAAATAATTTTAATAATTTTTTATTTTTAATAAATATAAAATAAAATAATTTCAGATCTCTTCACACTAATGAGCACCGTGATGCACCTAAAACAGGTCCAGCCGTGTCATAGGGCAACATGAATGCCACGCATTTTATAAACTGCCGATCGGAGGGATTGCAATAGATACTGTTTGTTCTGTCAAGCCATGGTCAAAAACAACGCAGGGGTTAGGAATACGAATATCATGAATAAATGATGTGTGCCAGCGTAAAATTCAGAACTGTGGAATCATTACCGAATGGCAGATCATAACAATTATATATTGCAATCAGTATTTCCAAGAAATAAAATGATACTGTATTTAGTTCCTCCTATTATGCTCCCTAATTGTAGAGCTTGTCTCTCAAGAATGAATATGAGGCAGAGAAACTTACCCAGGCTACTACGTAACTGACCAACTCAGACACAACCTAATTTACCGAGCCATTAATATAAATGCTGCGCATGGCATTAACAAAACAAAGAATTTATTCAGTAGAGTTTCAAATAAAAGAACCAAGGTAGAGCAGCGGAAACTGGCCTATGACCAGACACCCCCTTTTTATACCTTTCGTTCGGGAGCAGGAGACATCCTGGCTCCCATCCTGCCCTCACAAGGGCAGGTGAGAAATAAAAAAAGAAATTAAAACAAAATCAATAAATCAACAAAGTTCCTGCCCGAAAAAGCAGCTAACAACATAATAAGATACATCATATCTCCAAGTGTTAAATTTGCTGTCATGTGGCTCACACCGTTCAAGATATTTTGAGGATCCGCAGATGGATTGTGGAAGCCAGAAGGGCAAAATATTTTCGCTTAAAAAAGGATTCAGTTTTCACACAACCACACAACTTACAGGTATATTATTTGAAGGATACGAGACACAGGCATACCACAAACCTCAACGTACTCAATTCTTTATTGCATTGTATAAAAGTATGTCGATTGCGTATTCCGGAAAAGTTAGAGAACTATAGGGATCAACAAGTCTTGTAAATTCGGGAATACTGGAGCTGTGAGTAGCCAGACAACAGAGGAACACAGCAAACGTACCACAAGTACTGGCAGTTTATGCCGAAGACGAAGAGTTCGTCCCTTTGGCTTATTTGCTACTAACTTCGTCCTTGCCCTTGTCCCCATATTTGCTACCAACTTCGTCCTTGCCTTTGTTCCCATATATCAACCCTGTTTCCTGTCAAAGAAACGTCTGTGAATTAAAATGGGAGGACAACATTGAAGAGCAGGATGGAAAGTTAAAGAAAGCGATAGGGCAACCTGAGGGTCAGGGATGGGTTTTCGTTTCTCAACATAGCGATGAGGATCCGAAGCAGCAAGAGCAGCCTTGTCCTAAGAAGGATGGATAGTGAATCCGGGGAAAAGTGGAAAGGACGATGAATGAGTGGGGAAGAGAAAGATAAACCTGTTGTTGGCGGTGCAGGTCTCGAGAGGGTTTGACCCAAAGGAAGTAAGCCAGGGTTCCGGCCACAAGCCAAGAAGCGAGGTTCGTTCCTCCTCGAACACTGCCCATGGAATTGCTTACGAAGGACCTCACAGTACCCAAAGTTCTTCTCCAACCACCGCCCATCGCGCTTCTGATTTTGATTCCTGATTCTCAAACTGCTTCCCTGGCTGGCATCACATCTGTACTCCTCCTATCTCTGCTTCCTGCTTACGCAAAGTCGTCAATTGCTCCCCGCTACCGCCTGCCCTAATATCGACCCAAAACAAACTCGGTATTATCTCCCTTCTCCTCGGCCTCGCGGATTATATCTTTTTCAAATTAACCCTTTGAACAGTCAAAATTATTACGGTTGAGTTCAATGAGCGAAAACATTCTAAAATCGTCTAAACGAAAAGGCTCGAGGATGAAATTATAGAAATTGCCAGAAGGAAGGACATCGGGAAAGAGGGAAGTGACAATGCAAGACCTAACGAGAAAGGTCCAAAAAAATGAGTGACGAAAAAACTGGCGATTGGTTTCAGTGCTCATAACGAGCGCCACCTGATGAGTAATCTGAAAAATTTGGACGGACCAAATTTTTTAATTTTTATTTTGTATTTATTAAAATATAAAATATAAAATATTAATAAATTTATCTTCCCATTAATCTAAATAATATAAATTTAATTTAAATGATTTAATTTAATATTAATTTTAAAAAAATAATAAATTAATTATTTAAATATTCTCAGATCCAATCTATTCAAAATATATTTTAATAATCAATTTATAAATTTAAAAAAAATTAATATTAAATTAAATTATTTAAATCAAATCTTGATACTAAAATAAATTTATTAAAGCTTTGTAATTTTTTATAATAAAAATAAAAACAATAAAAACAATAAACTTAGACCGTCTAAATCTTTTATTTGGATGATTCAGATGCTCATAAGGTCATGAGCACGATAGTGACCAAAACCGGACTCGAAAAACTGAAACTCTTCGCTGGCAAAAAAAGGAAAAAAAGGGTGCAGAATGATAATACAGGCCACGCGCTATCATAGCCAGCTTGACCGGATCCTGTGCTTTTTCGGCCACAACGTTGTGCGGACATGATATAAAATAATTTAAAAAATAATATAGATAATAAAATTAAAAAAATTTCAATTCAAGTAATAATATCAAACATGTCAAAAAAATATAAAAAATGTCTTATGGTAATATGTAATCGGAATGCATTCAATATAATTATATCAATTGAAAATATCTTAAATTCTGGATCAGAAGGTGGGAGTATTTTTTTATCAAATGCTTGATAGGATCCATATAAGTTGGGAGGTGCAGATTTCAATTTTTCCATTTGATGGGAACTAACATTTTATGGAGGTTTTAGACTAAAAAATTTATATTTTACAATGTTAAAAGTTATTGGGAAGGGGGTAGACTAAAAAAAAAAATAAATTGTTGGGTAGATGCAAAATGATAACAAAGTTAAAATCCATATGTTAATAAATATACTTATTTGAAGGATTATCACATATGGATAAATTATTCAAGCTCATGATTCAAAGAGTACTGTCATTTTAAATTTGTAAATTATTAAATAGGCATATAGATGATAATGAAGAAAAATTTCATATATGAAATCATAGGAATTGGCTTTCCTCCTCCTCTTGCAAATCCCTCAACTTACTCTCCTCCTGGCTTTTCCACTCCTACGTATCAATTTCAATGGTTGAGATTTTGTGAATTATAAAATTATTATTACAATATTAAATTAAAAAACTTATTTATAAGAGTAATAATAAATAATATATTACAAATTTAATTAAATGCTTACATTTATTAATTAATTTATTATTTAATATAATAATAATTTGGGAAAATATCACCAAAGGGGTTGGAGGTATTTTACATCAAAGAAGGATCTTCATATGCTGATTTTTCACTGCATCCCCTTGATCTTTAACTAAAAATAAGTTTTATGATAAATGATTGAATTATCTCTAAAGTTTAAAATAACAAGTATTCATCATGCATAAAAAACAAGTCATTTAAATTTTAATAACAACTAATTTGTGATTAATAATAATATATTTAAAATTTAACAAGATTAAAAAATAAATAGCACATGTTTAATAAAATAAGTGTTAACCCCTACATAACAACAAGGCATTTGAGTGTTGACAACAACTAACTCATGATAAACAATAACAAATTCAAATTTTAATAAGATTGAAAAGCTGAAATATATGTTTAATGAAATAAGTATTTACCTTGCATAAATAATAAATTATCTAGGTTTTGAAAATAATATATTCAGACTTTAATAAGATTGAAAAACTGACAACAAGAGTCTAATAGATCAAGTATTCACCCAACATAAATAACAAAAGATTTTAATTTTGACAATAATTAATTCGTGATTGATAACAATATATTCAAAAGGTTAAAAAAATCTATTTTACAATGCATTATCTTTATACATTTTAAAAAATATAAATAATTTATTATAAAAATATAATAAATTTTTTTAATTTTAAATAAATTTTTGATAGTTTATTTTATTTGAACGGAACTCTTTATAATTTGATGTATGTTAACAATATGAAGATTAAAATTATGGATGTATATTTTATACAAAATAAAAATATTTTTAAGTTTATGTAAATTTTTATTTAATATATTTTTGCATTTTTATTAAAATTCTATATGCATAAAAATTATTTAGTGTACATTGCCTAATTATATTAATTTTCAATTATAAAAATAATTAAATTAGTTATAAAGCTATATAATTATTTAATAAAATATAAAATTTTTAAATTTTATTCTTTTAAGAAAAAATTCAAGGATCTTAACATTCATGGATTAACAAATCTACAGATCAAACTATAAATGTTCAACTGAAATAAAATAGACTATAAGGATGTGATTCAAAATTAAAGAAAATTATAAGGTTTTTCAAATTAATTTTTCAAAAACATATTAACTAATTTTTTGAATTTCCCACCTCCTTCAAATTGAAATATAATTAGCTTATTTTCTCTCAAAATTTGTTGGCCCATACATCATCAAAAAAATAAAATATGTATTATAATGAACCGTACTATAATTTGTTATAATATTATCAATGAATCATAATTATTGTCACCAATAGGGGTTGAGTTAAGTAGAAGGGATTAGTTTCACATAACCTAACAAACCAATGTTCAAATCCTGTATTAGAATATGTGCTTACATGTAGTTTCTGATCCTATCTCAAATAGGATTATCTCTAATAGAAAAATACCTATGGGCAATTAAAAATAATAATTATAGTGAAAAATAAAAATAGATAAAAATTAAGTATATAAGAAATAATGGCATGACATCAATTTGTTAATTTATTAATATGAGTTGTAAATTATATGAGTTAATATATCAATAATTATATAAGACTTGATATCAATTTTTTGATCACAAGCAACATTAATTGTTAAATTACTAAATTTACTTATTAATTTATTAATATTAATTATAAATTACTGACAAGTATTGTAATTTATAACTGATATTAGTAAATTAATAAATAAAGTTAGCAAATCAACAACTATTGTGATTGTTTATTTAACAAATGGATGTAATTTATAAGTTATATTGATAAATTAATAATTAAAATAAGAAAATTAATAATTAATAATTCTACATAATAAATGAAGATTATTTTAATTTTTTTAAAATTAAAATTATTTTTATTTTTATCTCCTAGATTAAATTAAAATTTTAAAATTTTTTATAACCTACTAGTAATTATGCCATTGTTGATCCTCATCTCCCAAATATTTATAGTCTCCCAAAATCCTAAACTTAAACATAGACTGCCAAACATTCGATGAGGCACATACTACCTATTTAGACTAGCGTTAATATAATTCAATTGCCACCGCTGCACTTCCATCACTTTACTCTTAAACCAAACCAGTGAGAGTTTTGTAAAGCGTCATGTCTACTGCACGACATGATGACTTTGTACTAGATATCAATACACGATAAAAATACATTGTCAATCATTGCTTGGGTTATTCGAAAGTGGGTAGTGAAGCACAAGAACCGTCCGTTTGTCACGTGGAACATCATAATAATTCTTATGGATGAGAAGGTATTATTAAAATTGGTTGTGTTTAGTTATACCAAGTATGAGTCTTTGTCATATCGCTTATGTGTGTGTGTGTGTGTATATTTGCATCTTAATGTTTGGCCTCAGGGATCTAGGATTCAAGCTTTAGTGACCAACAAAAACCGTATTGAGAGAGGCTGGCAGAAGTTTCCATAGACAGTTTTTTTTTTTTTTTTAACTCCCAAGCCATGATATCATTTAATTTTTTTTGTTTTTTTGTTTTTATGTACACCATCTAACTTTTTTGGTTGAAAAACTGATTTTCATGCATATATTATCCAAACTATAGCATCCATAGGCAATAGGTTGTTACCAAATTATAAATTTAAAGTTTATTTATAAATTATTCAAGGAGGCTATTATTAGAATTTAGTCTATTAGTATAAATGAAGAAAATGTTGGCTCATAAACTATGACTTAATTAAGGAAACGTTCGATAACTTAGAAGATAAAATTAGCAAAATCTAACCTCCCATTTTCCTTTTTTTTCCCCCTCTCTCGCACGAGTATTCATGTTAGTTTTGCTAAAGACTTGATCCACCTCCTAAAAATTATTTGACGGTTGTGCTCATAGGAGTGGTTCAAGTGATTGTGTTGCCCTACATCCTGCCAAACAATGAGGAACAAAATATTTCAATGGAGACTCCTTGAAATTACACCTCCTGTAAAATATTCGAATTAAATAAGTAAAGTTATCCTTACTAATCCACTCTAATCTCAATCATTAAGGTAATTATCAAATTTGTCAAATTTCACAAATGGGGATCCCAATTTTTTTTTTTTCAAAATTCAAAACATCCATTAAACCTTTACCAATTAAAATTAGAGTAATTAGATGTATGCGAAAGCATGGGATTGCTCGCAAGTTAAAACATTTGTATAAAATATGAAAACAAGAAAAACTATGTAGAAAAGCAAACATGCGCTATGGCTAATAATACATGCACCGCGGCATAAATGCCTCTGTGTCATGCGCCGCAGCGCGTTACACATATTTGACAGCCTTGTTGCTGTCATTTGATAGCACCAAGGACAAACTTCCAACGCGCCCAATTTCTCTATCTAATTTTTGAATGAGGTGATCTAGTTGTTCATAGAAAGCTTTTTCCTAGCTCTAACTAATAGCACTAATTTTATAGTCATAGCATTTTCTAATCAAAATTTGAACACCCATTTCAAAAACTTACTCATTTACAATCTTGACACACAATTTAGGTGCCTAAATCACATGACAAGTGTTAAAAGCCAAATTCACGCCCTAGACAACACTCAAAAGACTAAGACGAACCTATACAATACACCATATCACAAACATAACTCATAAAACACATTTTCAACGCTCAATTCTTTCATT